TCATAAGTTTGTATTGTCATTTTATAATGAAAATGTTTCGTGAAAAGTAATGACAACGAACATAAATAATATGAGTTCGAAAAAAGAAGAAGAAAACAAAATGAAAATAACATTTGTTTGTGTACGAAAAAGTACTATTACTACTTGTAATTGGAAGTGACTTCGGAGAGTAAGCTCGGATAAAAAATTGTATAAAATATGTATATAACGGTATAAATTTTGTACAACAATCTAGGAATGAAATTTAGTCTAAAATTATAAATGTTGGGTGTTTTATAAAATATAAAGGTTTTGGATAATTTTTGAATTTTTTAAAAATTCGCGAATACAAAAATCTGTCTCAAATTCTATTTTTTTTCTAAAACTTGGAAACTTGGGATAACCAATTATATGACCAAACACTATTTACCAATTTTTTCGAAATTTTTCCCAAACATAATTTTCTTACTTTTGGATTACTAGTTTATGATTAGAAAATGAAAATGTAATTGGAAGGAACATTAATTAAAATATAAATATCTTCAAACATTATTTATAGCAACCAAATCAAAGTCTCAACTTGTCTTTGATTAAAGGTATCCCATGAGATTAAAGGTTTATTAAATTAAATATTCCTCTAATATAATCTAATTTCTGAATACATCTCTTGTATTTTAAAATATAAACACTTACACCATTTATATTATGAAAATATCATACACTTATACTCTCTATGAGTTAAAGCCATGACTAAATATATTAGTAAACGATTGAGTAAAATTATTAATGACACAAATTAGTTAATAGAATATTTCAATTATTATTAGTAATTTTCTCGCACTTAAATCGTACAAGTTATTTTATTTTTATTTAGTTATAATATTTTATTATATAATATTTAAAGGTTTGACCTAGTTATTAATAAAGTGGTTGAAAATCACGACATCTATGATTTTTCTCATCTTCCCATTGTGAATAGAGTTATCTAGTATTTATTACTGGTATAAGGTAACATATATTTAGTGAAATTAGTTAAGATACACATAAAATTGACTTGGTCACCACAATTATCACAAAATATATATATTAATAAAATATTCAAGGGTGTGACCTAGGGATAAAATAAAGTGGGTTAAAAATCACGAGATCTGTTGAAATAAAATTTGAGTTCGATTTTAAAGTTTAACATTAACAATACTATATTTATTAAAAGACAAGTGGAAGAATGGAATTATGAATATAAGCACACAAATATATATTTATATACAAATACACCTAATTCATTTTGAAAACTTTGGGCAATTGTACTTTCAAAAACGCGTTGGCTTAAAATTGAGAATTCAACAGGGTAATTTCTTTTACTTTCCGCTAATTATTCATTTATAATTATTAATTAAAAATCAACATGTCTCATACAAATCGAACATTGAATTTGATAGAGAAAAATGAATATAACTTTTAAACAAATTGAATTTATGTGAAGATTGAAAAAGATAGTAAAAAAGCTTAAAGGATATGAAACATGGAAAGTAAAATATTATAACTCAAAAATGTTGATTAAATTGTTTTTGGTGAAAGTGAAGAAATCTGTATCACCAATTCGATATAAGAACCTGGTTCTTGTAGTACTTCAACATAACTTCGTAACACAAAATAACAAAATTTTATTGTGGAAAGCCTCCTTACTCAAGGGAACAAAAATCATGACCTACATCGTCTAGGATTTTCAACAACTTCTCACTAACTTCACAGAGCAGCTTCAGGTTGCAACTCTATAATCTAAGGAACTAACTCTAGTACCTCAACTCCAACGATTCACTATAACTGTTATATTTATAACTCTCCAAGAAGTCACAACAACTTCTTGTTACAACTCTCACAGACTCACTTTCAAACTTAGAATTATTACAACTCAGTAATGATTCCAAGTTACTTTAACAATAAACTTAATTAGACTGAAAACCTGATTCTAGTTCTTCTTTCTTCAGCCATTGTACGCTGCTTCTGCCACTTATTGCCTTTTGCTGAAAACAACAATATTCATTGTGTGCAAAATCTAAAGTTTCATTATTCAACTTTCTCCTTTATAGTCAACCTCTTTTGCGCGTCCTGGAAATCCTAATAATTGAGTCCATAAGAAGCTCTTCAATAGATCGGCTACTCCATTTATAGAACCTTACGTGGATTCTAATTTATTCTCACGTGACTTTATTGTGATTATCATTTTTAGAATTTGATCTGCGTTGTCAATCATCAAAAACTGTTTTTGTTGAATATTGACTTGTCATAAAAAAGTATGACAGAAAAAGTTCTCTTTAGGATCAATTCTGCATATAAATATTAAATTATATTTGTTACAACCTCTTATCCTTTTTAGGACGAATTTTAGGTATATATATTTCTATTATATAGAAATGTGATGAGAGGATGACCAAGGGCAAAACAATAATTTACACTAACAAATGCACTATGTCAGTAGTTCTAGAATCATCTGTCTTCAATTTTTCACACTCCAAATCCAAAATTTCAACTCACTCTATGCCCAAACATAATTCTAGAAGTGTCACGTCTTCCCTCCCTCTTGTTCCAACAACTATGAATCGATTTGCAATTCTTCCTGATTCCAGGTATGTTTTTCTTCAAATTTCGCAGCAATTTTCTTCCAGTTTTCTTCAGACTTGTCTCTCTCAATTTTATGGCTGATGTGAAGGCTTAGGTTGTTCTCTCCCAAACATCGTAATCTGAATTTGGTTTTTCTATACTCTTAGCTCTAAGTTCTCTCTCTCTCTCTCTCTCTCTCATTCCTACTCTATATTAGAATTAGAATGTCTACAATATCGCGATTCCTTATAGAAGAGATAGGCAATTGTTAAATTCATAGTGATTATGCCCTTTCGACAGATATTGAATTTAAATTACTGGGATCGGTAACAAATGCTTTGAGGGCTCATCTTCTTCTCACTTCGTGCAAATCTTGCACACTGAAATCTAACTCAAAAACTTGTGTGAGCTTATTCATTTTATTTTTACACACTTCCCTTTACAGTTGCTCAATTGAATAACCCAACGTGTTTTATTAACATATAATAATTATCCACGAGAATTCTTACAAATAAAACTAAAACATCAGTTATTCTATTTGGTGATGTTGATGACGATAAATGATGATTTTCTTTCAAATCTGTTTTTCTATACAAATTGCTTTTGATGTAAACAGGCAACAACTTTTATTAAATTCGTTTTCAAATATATGTTTTACAAATTTGATTGCGATAAAGAGAGTAACATATATTATTATGAATTATGTAAAGAGTACTATACATCACAATAAATAACAACTTTAAATATTTGTATTATCTGAGATGTTATATCTTCCCTCTATTTAATTAGATAGAGTTGGAGCTGGACCCGACATTTTAGAGAATATCTTGAAAAAAAAATCATGTGGACAAAACATCTGCTTATAACTATGGCACAATATCTATCAATGTGGAACATACTGAGCTTTTCATCAACGGCAATTTGTTGATGTTGCATCACGTAAATTTGTTAATCCACGTCAATCACAGTAATAGAATTATGTACTCTTTTTGAAACCTATATTTTGCCCTTTATTGTACAACAAAGATATCTCTTGATCTTTAGGATAAAAAAAAATTTAATCCTCGACCCCAGGACAAGGGAGGTAATTTATGACCAGTATATGATCTTCCTTTTGATTATACCTTTTGAATGACCTCTCAATTACTTACATAAGATTAGTGTGTTAAATATATTGTACACGATAAATTGCTTTTATCTACCGAGTAGTGTTAATTCCATTTTATTTGTAGGTTGTGCTTGCTACTCGACTATTCTCCAAAACAGAACAACCTTCAGTTCTCCTCCTTCAACTTTAAAGAATACTTAGGAGCGTCCTCTTTCAGCGTCATCACTAAGTGTGAGATTTCATTAGTACGTGACCGTTAGGAATCATGGTTACGCTAGGCTTCCATGCCTCCAACTCTGCCATTTGGACTCACAAGGACGATTTAATATATCAGCCCTTCCAATATCAATTCAATGAACAAGGTAAGTAGTCTAATTCATTTGTTGTGGTATGTTAAATGCTATTTCTAACTTCATCGTAATTTCACAGCTAACATAATGACAATTTAGATATTTTGTCCACCTTTAAAGGTATCGAAACATCTAGATAACTATGGTCTACTCGCGTTCGTTTCTCTTCTGCATTTCTCTTTCCCGAGTAGTTCCTCCATGGCAACGCTTCAGATTTAACTCAGTTACTCAGCTTCTCCCCATTTCTACTACTTGTGCAAAAATAATCATAAGTCTCTTGTAAACTCCTTTGCTCTTATCAGTTAAGTTTCTGTTGTTACCTACAATTTAGATATGAAGATACATTTGATCCACTGCTGATTGATATTTGTTCTTTCAGAATTACTACTGCTAGATAGAATAATGTCCAGCTATTAGTAACAGGTCTATTCAGGCGATGTTGGCATTTCTTTTGACATTCAGTTTTAGTTTTCTGCTTGTACAATTCGTTAAATGCAATATGCTATTCCAGAGTACTTGTTCCCGATCTCCTCCTCCAAACTTTTCACGATCTCTACTCTGAGTTTTTTCCTTATTCTCTTATGTCTTCTTACTATTTCATGTATGATTCTCTCTCAAATATTGCTCGAATCTTTTTTTTTTTTTATTCTCGGCCTTCTTTTCTTTCTTCATGTATTTGAGTTCTTTTAACAATTTTCGATTTCATGACTGAATTCCTTGTTGTTATTGTTCTTGGTGATATTCTTATGCCTATAGAAGGAAGGAATTTGAAACTTTTTATTGAAAAAATAGCCTTTGTTACTTTAATATGATTTTTTTGAGCTATTTTCAGCATAATCTTTATTGAAAGTTCTCTTCTCACCCTTTTGTTTCAGCCAAAAGATCTTAGAAATTTAAAATAGAGAAAAAATAGCAAAATATAGTGAACTATAATTTTCTTTCAACTTTCCTTTTTCTTTTGGTTGCTATGTTTTTTTTTTTTCTTGGAAGGTATGTTGTGTGTAAAATGTCTATTAGGATTAGATATCAATGAGTACTGATTTCATGTGCATTAGACTTCTATTTGAATTTTTTTAAAAAGTCCCTTCAAATATTTTGTTAACACCCAATCTAATAATTTTTATGGATGAATAAAGTAACTCTTTTTTTCATCTCCTGTCAATTTTTTTCATTCACTCTTCTTTGTTAATATATTTGACAAAAAACATCATAGCTATAGATTAATGATAATTTTATAGTTATAGATGATCATGTTTTTGAAATACTCTTCTCAAAGTTATTGCATTTGTTCTTTCTGAATGTAGAACAATTTGATTAGTGTTATCCGTATTGTTTGACTTAATAGTAATCATCTTAGTAGAGAGATGGTCAGTGTTGGTTTTCCACTGTTTTGGTTCGATAAGAAAGAAATTTGAATTTACAATGCTTCTCCTTGAAAAGATGAACCAACCCCCGTCTTTTTACTCCCAAACACACAAAGTTGTTGATGGAGCTCTTCTTAGTCTCAGCTGAGAACTTTGATTGTATGCATTCACAGAGTCTGTCAAGAACAAGATATTGATAATTACATGTAAGTTTGACCTTTGCACAATTAATGTTTTCTTGAACAGAAATAAGTGAGGAGGTGTTCATTGAAAACTTTCGTCATAATTTTGCATTAGTCTATTAGTTTGATTTTTTCCCCCTCAAACTATATGATTGTGAATTTCTGAAAGCTGAATGAATAATGAATAACAGTTTCTTGGTTTCTGATCTCTTCTATTATGATAAATTGATAATATGGGTGACAATAGGATTGTACATATTTCAGGTAAAATCAATAAATCGAATCAAAAAATGTTATTGATTTATCGATATTGTGTTTTTGATGTAATGGTGCAGAACTATCTAGCGTTATTGGACTTTAGGGTTATCGGTTTAGGACTCGATTTGTCCTATTCCCCAAGGAGTTTTTTGGTGTGAGGTATAAGGAATTCATGGCTATTTTATCTTGCATTTGGTTGGAGGTATTAGGCAGTTCTGAGACTATTTATCTCACACTTTATACCTTAGTGATGAGATAAGTTATTCCATATATATGGTGGAATAACTTATCCCAGGATAACTTAACTAGGGATAATTAATTCTGGGATAACTTGTTTCCAACCAAACAACCCTCAGCGATTTAACCTATAACCCGATAAACTTATTATAATAAAAAATTCGATGAAATTATAAGTTAATGCTTCCAAATAAGCTAATCAGACATAGCTTCCTAATGTTGTGGGTTCTATTTCACCTATAATTAACATCTACCATAAAGAGCTTCTTTTAATGATAAGATCTAGAATACCAGTAACCTCGATAATTTTAAAATGACTATCCAATATTAATCTGTATGTATCACTATATGATCCATTACTAACTTAATGATAAGAAATTCTTACAAGTTATCTTTTGAGTGAGGTTCACATATATGTGAGTTGAAGAGTTCTCTACCAGCACTTTCTATTACTGGACAACCATTTTTTTTATCGTAGCAATATGGTTATCTATGGTGTATTCTTGATTCTTATATTGATTTTACTGATTTGCAATAATTTCAGAGAAATTAGATGCCCTCATTGCATAACTTTGAATTTTAGACAATATGCTTAGTGAGCAAACTTATTATGTCAGTAGTTCAACATTTTCGAGCGTACATAAGTTCATCCTTAATTTTGACGTTTGCCTGATAAGTAGCTCTTCTTTTAAATCTGGTGTCATTAGTTAATACTTGATCAATAGACTCAAGATAAACTATATATATAAATGGTTGGTGTGAGATCTGTCCAAACTTTTCTAACAACTTGTGTAAGTGCCTCCTACTAATGTTTCATAAATTACTGTAAGTTAATTTATTTATGATTTAATTGCTAACTGCTACTACATATATGGTGTATGACATAAGTTTCCTGGCATGTAATAACTTTCTGTTTCTACCCCAAATTAAGATATTTTGTGGGTTGCAGCAAATTATGAAGAATATTACTATTTCCCATTTCAAATTTTGGTGCCCTTTTTAAATGTGATCAGATTATATGCTATGTATCATTTCTGAGAAGATATTTATTGTGCTGATAAATTACAGGTTAGCTTTTTGTGGATTGTGAGTTTTGTTTCCATATAAAAAGATTTCTTAAATTTAAATGTGATTTTTAAAATTATTTGGATAATGCTGAAATCCCTAATAGCTGTCAGTTCATTTATGTACTTGCACATTTCTTTTGAATTGATTTTATATATTTATTAGTTAATTTTTTATTGGTATCCTCTGTCAGTGCAGTAAGCTTAATTTTATGAGGGAGCTTTTAGAAGACTATTCTTTTCTTATTGATCTACTTATTAATCTGATTTGACTTTGTATGCTTTGGACTAAGTTATAATCTTTTGAGTAGATTATATCTATGATATTTAATTGTTTCCATCTCTTATTTTGTTGGAAAGTTTGAAGCTGAAGCATTGGATTAAATACATATTCTGTGATTTTGAGTGCAGAGCACATTTAGCTTTGTGGATCTAAGAGATGCATTGACAACAGTCCTCTTCTCTATTTCTTATACAGCGGAAATCATGTGAGGGAAAACTTTATTCGCAAAAAGGTAAACATCTGGATTTTTAGAATATTTTATTTATGGGTAATCTGTAGTTCTTATCTATCAAAATAAGAAAATAAAAAAAGTACCACTGAGGTAAGTTGTGTGATTCTAAGTTCATC